TATTTTTCTTTGCCGCTATCGGTATTTCAAGTTGCGCTACAAGCACGTTAATAAACCTCACGCTTCGCCGTTTGCTTGGCGACTAGCCAGCTTTGAGGTGTTCACGCCACTGCCAGCCGCAACTCGATCGTCGCTTTTGTTTATAAAGTACATAGTTAACAAATTATAGTTAAATGCTGGCGCTGTGGCTGCGGCGAAGAGAGAAGAGATGCTTATAAAAATGTTTTTGTAATTGTTTGTAATGTAATTACTATGAGATCGAGCGATTTCTTTTCGAGCTCACTAAATACATATACGTAAATGAAAATAAGCAATAACCAGTTCTTTTGCAAAATATTACTTTTTCATTTATTCGGTTATGGCGCTGCTTGAAGGCAATTTTTATTGCATCAGTTTTTGCACAACTCCATTTCGGCTTTGTTTAAGAATTGAGATACATACATAGTTATAAACATTGGTGTTTAAAATAATTTATTTTACTTGCGATGAGCAGTTTGCAAATAATTGATTGCGGTGCGGCAATGAGCGTGTAATAATGTAAATTATATCTAACCAACAATTTTGAATACAATTGATTGCACATGCTTAGGTCTTAATGCGCATTAGGGTGTTCTATAAAGTTTTTTGCTAGTTTTGATATGCACACCCTTCTGAGTTTTCCCTTTTGATGGTGAACGGAGTGCTTGGGTCACATGGCGACTTCCGGAGTTATTCAACCTCTAGGACCAGGGCCCAAATCACGGCATTCGCTTCTTAAATATATGCACATGGTATTCATTTAACAAAAACGTGCTAATAAAAGCTTAGAAAATAAGACTTATGTAGATAAAGACCAATGCAAGAATGCAAGTAGAGGTGAGTACGTCTAGGAAAATTGAAACACTGTACGTATGTTAGGGCAGAAGTGAAGGTGTAGATGAAGAAGCTAATAAAAATAAAGATAAATATTAGAAAAGATGGGGATGGGGATACCGATAAAAGTAAGGATGAAGATAGGGGAATAAAGATTAATACAAAGGTAATTATAAAGAAAAGGATATATGTAAGTAGATAGATACGTGTACACAGACTCAATCTGGGAACTATTTCGAGATTTTAGAGATTTTCGGTTTTCTGGGAACTTATTTGTATAAAAATTGATATCTTTTATTGATTTTCTTATCGATATTTATCGATTTTTTATCGATATTTATCGACTTATTATCCATATTTTTTATCTATATTTATAGATTTCGGTGTCGATATTTATCGATTGTTTTATCTTGTTATCGTTATTTATTGATTTTGTTATCGCTATTTTTATAGATATTTTTATCGATTTTGTTGTCGATATTAATCGATTTTGTTATCGATATTCATCGATTTCTTATAAATACTTATCGATTTTGTTATGGATATCTATCGATTTTGTTATCGATCAGAAAATCAAAAGGTTGTCAATTCTTCGGAATATATTTTATTTTACTTTGCTTAAAAATTGTTTTTTTTTAAATTATAATAATAATGTTTAATTTTATGGAAAGTAAGTTTTAATTCAGTGAATGGAATATGAGATAATTGACTTTAGTGGTTGACATTTAAATATGATTTCAAAGTTTGATGGATTTCGTCGACCTAAGCGGGGTTAGATTGCATGTTTGACGCTTAAATTCTCCTGAGTTAAAATTTCAAGTTGCACTATTTAATGCAAACAATTTTTTTTTTTGACTTAGCCTAATACTAACTATGTTACCAAGTACAACAGAACTCTTCAAATAACTATATTGATTAAAAAAAAGTACAAATGCAATTAAATTTTTAAATTTTCTTTCCTTCCTGTGTTAGAAGTACATATCTCTGTGAAATAGAAATACGCATTTGATGAAAGAAATCAAATAAAATCCACCTTGGTAAAATAATATTAAACATGCAAATGTATATAAATACAAACATTAGCATGATTATAAAAATTATTCAAAGCATGATTTTTTACCAACAATTTAAGCAAATTAATATGGTTGAAGTCAACGAAAGTTGTTTAACTGGTAATCGTGACATTTGTATTGTGTCTACATATTTACTTTAAGTTGTTTTTGGTTTTTGCCACTGCCATGCAAATCGATTTTATTTATTTGTTTATTTTTCATTTTATTCAAAATGTTTTTTGTCTTAATTAAAAAGAGAACTGGGTTTAAAAAACTATGTGTTCGAAGCTGAAAATTTGCAGTCAGACTCCTTACCTGTTTTCAAGTAAATCGTAAAAAGTGTGGGTTGACGGTTCCTCTTCGTGTGTGTTTTGTTTTTAATTTACCTGGACCGAATGAAAACTGTATTCCGTAATAGTGAACGCAAACTTTCTAAAATTTGGAAAAAATCACCAATCTTCCAAACTAGCTTTTAATTATCGAACTTTCGCGATTCCCAGGTGTGATGTTAAGATTTTTTTCCCAATTAGCTTTGTAATGGTTCAAAAGCCATACGATTATTTTTATATATTTTTTTCATTCCAAAGAATGATACAAATTAATTATTTCGAATAGTATTGGTTCATTATTGATAGGAATCGAAAGCATCATCCTGCTGACCCAGTCTACCAGGGCCTTGATGACAGTTTTGGCTTTATCTCACGAATGGCTTAGGGTACGTTCACACAGGCAGAGCGGTGCGGTGCCGAGCGAAGCAAAACAAAGCAGAGCAAGGGAAACTATTGGTGTTCACACTGAACGAAGCGGAGCGGAACTTGCTGTCTGGAAGGGGCGATAAAGTTACCTTCAATGCGAAGCAGAAAAAGTATTTATTCAATTTGCTGCAATTGCTTTTTCTAAAAATACATTTTCATTTCATATTTGAAAGCATCGCTTTGGTCGGAACGGCTTCGCTCTGCTCCTCCTCGCTTCCTGTGTGAACGTACCCTTACTCGATATTCGAATTAAGGGTCTGCATTTTTAATGCATAACATCGCTCTTTCACGGCGCCCACAAAACAGTTCTAACGGCATCGATGCTCCGATTAACATCGCCGAGTCGGCTAATAACACGATGCCCGAAGTTGGCGCGCAAAAGAGCGATTGTAGCATGGACCGTGTGGAATGGCACGTCAACCAACGATCGTCCGAGTCCATTTCTTCAATTTCCGCTCACAAAAAAATCGTTTACCATGCGCTGACTGTTGACCGAAGTCGCGTTGCCAGCAGTACTTTCAAAGAAAAATGAACGAAAGATGCCACCGTTTCAAAATCCTGTCACTCTCTGAGGACGCATTGGCTTCTCGACGTTTGGGTTTTCCGAATCCCGCTGCATCAGAAAAGATGATTTTTCTAGTAAAATCGTTGTCCATTTCGAGCTGCTCTAAGGTCAAAAGTTTAGAGTCTAAACTGAAAAACAATAACGAATCGGAAAGTCGTGTGCCTTCTATAAATGAGAGAATTGGACCTAATACTCGGAGGTATTTGTGCAAATTTGGTATCTGGATGATGCGTGAAATGTTGAGTTGTTGAGATCGATAGCTAGTTGAGTGTTGTCCATGCCAGTCCCATGAATTTTTTGCACTAGCTTGCATACAGCAATCGCCGTGGGTGCCTCATTTCGGTAAAAAAAAACTTATTTTCAGTAAACACAAAAAATAACTCCCAGCGCACTTCTAAAATGTAGCTTACAAATTTTGAATCTTCTCGGCATTATCGCCTTATTTTGAATTTGGTCGTAGACGCTCGCTCGGATCAGTAACTAATGAATTGGGTATGTACATATGTATTTTAAATTCAAAATGACGTTGAGCAAAACCTTCAGATCCGCCAGTATTAGAGACAACCTCAATGAATAGAAGAATAATGCATTTCGATTGTTCGTTCCTCTTGCTGGATTTATTTTTTTTTATAAATTTGCTGGCTTGTTTCATCTAAAGGGCATTCAGC